TATTCTGATATATAGGATATCTGTTTACCTGGGTCACACATAACTTCTTTACTTCATTTGCTTATGTTTTACAGCTTAGGGCAATAGGACAAACATACTCACATCATCATCATCATTATCATCATCATCAAACGAAATACTGTCATGCATACGCACATTCATATGCGCCGAAATATCTATGCCCGCTCTGATAAACCCCGGAAGGACTGGTAAATCATAATCTGTACTTAGGTCATGTGCAGATAATCGTGTGTCTTCATTCAGCGAGGCATAATTTTATTTGTAGCAACGGTGACCTTGACCTCCTAGAAGAATATATTTGTTCGCAATCATCAGGGTACGCAATCAACCAAGTTTGAAATGTGTACGGACATTCACTATTAAGGTTTTATCGGGACAAAACACAACAAAAAAGTATATTTGTGCAACGTTGATCTAGACCATTGGCTGATCACACCCAAAATCAATCAGGTTTTCCTAACCAACACAAAATAATGTTAGAACTATTTTTTAGGGAAGAGAAGGACACGTCTCCCCAATTTATGACTCAATTGTTCTAATCCTAATGTCGTTTAACACCTTATTATTGTGCAAATTTTCAAATATATAAATATAGGGATTATTCATTGGTTTTCCGTTGAATACCATATTTAGTTAACAAATATAGCAGAACTTTTTTATTTATATCGAAATACGAGTGAAATTTATATGGTACATGTATTAAACTAGAAAACCATAAATGTTCTACTTTTTAAGGGAACACTATGCAAATATTACTGCATTAGAAAAGTGCAGGAATTAGCAACATGATATTTAATGCCGTATTCTAATGACGTCAAGCTTGGACAACAAGGCAGAATGTGTTACTAAACCTTTACCCTAGGAGACGGGGTGTTTGTCAAATTTTCATTTGCCTGGTAGACGAGTCGTGTGACACCATTTTTACTTATCCTGGTAGACGGGTCGTTTTTCCTCTTTTTCATTTATCATCGTAGACGGGTTGTGTGCAACAATTTCACTTACTTCGGTAGACAGATCGTCTGCCACATGTTCAATTACCTTGTTAGACGGGTTGTGTGAGACATTATCATTTACCCTGGTAGATGGGTCTTTTGCCACATTTTCACTTACATGTACCTTGGAAGATGGGTTGTGTGCCACATTATCATTTACCCTGGTAGATGGTTCCTGTGCCACATTTTCACTTACATGTACCTTGGAAGACGGGTTGTGTGCCTCATTTTCACTTATCCTTATATACGGGTTGTGTGCCACATTTTCACTTATCCTTATAGACGGGTCGTGTGCCACATTTTCACTAACCTTAGAAAACGGGTTGTGTGGGACATTATAATTTGCCTCGATTTGTGTTCCCCACTTTCATTACCCTTGTAGACGCTTTTGGGTGACATTATCTCCTTCCTTGGCAGAAGGGTATGTTTTTCGTTATCATTTAATCCGCTAGACGGTTCCTGTATCACATTAGCACTTACATGTACCCGGTAGACGTGTTCTCTGCAACAATTTCACTTTGTTTAAATTAAATCCTGCAAACGGGTTTTTTGTAATAACATCACTTACACGGGTAGACGGGTGGGATGTCACATTATCAGTAATATACAAAGCAGGCGGGTTGTGTGTAACACAAGCACGCTCCCTGCTGGACGTTTACGTTGTCACATTATTACTTACTCCAGTATGATGGCTGTGTGTCACATTATCACTCACCCCGCTAGACGTGTACGTTGTGTCACATTCTCACTTACTCCAGTAGACGGGCTGTGTGTAAAATTATCACTCACCCCGCTAGACATGTATGTTGTGTCAAATTAAAACTTACTCCAACAGGCTAATTGTGTGTAACAATATCACTCACCCCGCTAGACGTGTACGTTGCTACTTATTATCACTTACTCCAGAAGGCGGGTTGTGTGTAGAATTATCACTTTCCCCGCTAGACGTGAACGTTGTGTCACATTATCACTTACTCCAGTAGGTGGGTTGTGTGTAGAATTAATACTCACTCCGCTAGACGTGAACGTTGTATCACATAATCACTTACTCCAGTAGGCGGGTTGTGTGTAGAATTATCACTCAAGTTCTGGTCATAATGGCGATTGCATCGACTTAAGGAGTGGTATGTTTCTGAGCATTTTATGATGTATTGACTCTTCATGGGTTGATATAGTATTATAGGTGTAAAATTAAAATATACCACCTTAATGCACGGTTTTCAGACCAACGATGTATTGGTGGATTGGTTTGATTGAAATAAACATGTGGAATTAATAATGCCGTCAGTCAGTGTTTATTGTTTATTTTTTTAATTCTAAAAGCCTGCTTTGATTAAAAATCACTAAATGCATATTGTTTCAAATCATGTTCATTTAACGAAAACATATGGACTCAAAATTAACATGAAAACCATTTTTTAAGATATCATTAGGTTTTTCTCAAATAACGTATTTTGTAAGATTTGCGTTACAAACTGTCAAGCTTACCCTCTGTAAACATCGGGACCTGATAACAGAAGCTGTATAAGACTGTAAAAAGTAGGACGTGAAGTGATCTTTGAGAAAAGAGTAGGATTGGCTAAACATATTATATTGGTGATCACATGGACCTGTGTTATCAGATGACGTAAATGAGATAGGCTTTTGTGTGGTTCTTCATTAACTGAGCAGCCCTCCTCACCGGAAACAAGGTAAGCAATAAAGGGTCAGGCAATAATATGCTGAGCATGAAACTAAAAAACTAAAAAGTATCATTGAATAGTATGCCAGTGCCTACTGAAAATATGTCTATTCTTTCATACAGTACAAGTACAGTCCCTTATGCCAAAACACCTAATAGTTTCCGGTTTGAGAAAATATTTCTGGCTATTAATAAAGTAAAGACGTCGATCTGTAGTGGCTTACGCAAAAATCAAACATTAGAATTCAGAAGTGCGACCTGTTCCTTTGTTAATTCTAAGAGGAATCCCTACGTAGAGGCCCATTCTAGAAATTTTTACTTTAAAACACAAATTGATTTAAGGTCATATAATTGTTTATTACAATATCTTCAATGCATATGCTCCCACTACAGTTAGTTTATTATCATTTATATTTTAGCTGTGTCCATGTGTCGTTTCTCACAGAACACTAAAAACACAATCTTTGTTATATAACTTCTTTGTATAGAACTTATGATTAACAAATATTTGTTTTAATTAGATATCTAGATACTTTTGAAACTGAAGTGTCATTCCAGGTAATCGCACACCCACGACCTCTTGAACCTGAATGGCTATGATAATTCATATCTAGCCATTGGTTGGTATGGTTATATTATAATCAATAGAAATATAGTAACATTTTTATGGTAAATACCTTAAGGACAATTTTTTCTATAAAATAAATCTTCCGAACAAGAATCATGATTTACATAACTATACTGGTGACTAGCGAGAAATGTCTTGACAAGTTAGATTTGTAGTCATTTCTGTGAACACGGGTATTTGTTTGCTTATGTGTATTTTATCACGTGACCTTTAGTATTAAGATTATGTACGCAGATAGTATTGTGAGTGTTGCCTCACTCAGTGAGCAGTTATCCTTGTATGATACAGGGTAAGCAGATTAGATATTGTCGGAAGTATTCAGCTCAGTTTGTATCGACACAAGTTATTTATGTAGTCAGTTTAGTCGTTTAACTTTTCTATATAAATATATGTATAATGTATCTGTCTGTGGTTGAAATGTTGCCGCGATATTATTACAACCAAAAGAAACTTATTAATTTAAATGCTTGATCTAAAAATTAGTTAAACCGAAGTAACACACATAGTATTAACAACTTATTTTCAACTAGCCACCTGCATTTTCTAAATGATTTTCAGAAATACGAGTACATCTGGACTGAATTAATGAAATAGCTCAATTGATCAACTACTACGCATCAGAAACGAGTCCACCTTTATCTGCCGTTAAGCCGAATTTATTTCTCTTACAAATGAATTGACTAAAGTTTCTAAGTCAATCATCGCCTAGAGCTAATGTTTGTTATATGATCCATTATTGCTAACTGAACACCCGGACTTTCCCCCTCTGATCTGGTTTATTGCCGTTTTGTCTTTGGTGTCTTTCTAGTGTTCCTTAAAAAAGGACTAAAGGTATTCTGCCTATATACCCTACTACCAGAAGTGTCACAGTTACCCCAATGCATGTTGTTAAGACACTCATCCATATTTCATTCAGTTAGTTTACCAACTTAATATGCTAGAATGGTTTTAGTGTCATGATTGTTTTAGTCTTTTACAGGATTGTAACAGATGGTTTATATAATTTCCGGTACATGTTTGTGGGGAGGATGGCAAGCTGCATTTAGTTTCCATATATTTCTTTGTTCTTTCCGTTGTAAACATTCTAGTGAGTAAGTGTGTATTACGGATATCCTCTGTATTATGTGTCATTGTATTACCGATTGTTGAGTGTTTCTAATCCGGTAAGCGAATGCGGATTTTACCAGTGACGGGCATAAGCAAGATTAAGCAAAAGTTTCGCTGTATACAGTATTCAATACACCGAGTCTAAAGAAATGTGTATGATTTAAATCGTTTTGCTATCACTAAAAACATATGCAGCTATGCCTTAATCTACAATAAAAACCAATACACACAATTGTATATTTTCGTTGGAAAACGGTTCTATATTACCATGTATATTTTGTTATAATTAGAATTCAGGTAGTTAATTTGGTCAAGAGAACCTGGTTTTGTTTGCTTCCCGCGTATTTCCGGAATTTAATGTCTACTTTGTACTATGTTTCTTGTTATCGAATTTTGGTTAAGGTTTTGTCATTGTTTGATGACACTGCGGTATTCATGTAGGCCGAAAAGTTCAGTCTCTTAAAGCGGCCATTGAAATATTCATGCTTGATAAGCTGACATTTACTTTGATTAATTATTTAACAAAGACTTGAAGGGAGTATTTATAAATAAATTAAAAAACGGCAATCTTATGTAATCAGAAATGTAATAGAGTCTTTCAAATCAAGATATGTTGGATATCGATATTCTACCTGAGGCTGTAAAATTTGAGTTAGAACTCACCCGATGGCAGAATGGCAAAGTCCTACATAATATCATGACTATTGAATTGTCTCCTCTTTACGAAATGTTGCTCAAACAATGCAAATGCAACATTGATAATAGCAAGTTTTCTAAACTACGTATGTAAAAATAAAAGTCGTATCTTGAAAAAAAATACAAAAACGTACCGCATACTAAGGGTATAAATCAGTTTTAAAGATATAATAGGACAAGACCTTTGTAAAAGCTTGTGCAATAAACCTAATTTTCCTCAAGTTTTGTCACTTGCCGTCGAAAATTTACACTCAGTCAAGCGTATATATGAAAACGCAGATGATACAGCAAATGCAGATAAAGCGCAAGAAATCGGGGAAAAACATCATGAAGAAGATGTTGAATCAAATAGGTTTGTTTTTTATTTTTTCTTCAAATGATCAGAACAAGTGGTGACAGTTGGAACAAAGCCCAAGTCGAAGTTGGAATTTTATCAGGACCATATTGATGTGGATCCCCAGTTGATGTTTCAAAGTCTCATCACAGCGGCAAGTAGTATGTTTGAGAATACGTCGAATGCATACAGGCATGAGTTCTCCAGTTCCCCATCATCGTTATTTGACAATTGATTGCCAGGAGAAAGTTGCAAGTCAACACTCGCGGATGCGATGTCGTCTCTCGGAACTTGTTTAGCTGAAATATCCTTGATGAAAACGTGCAGCATGTGATTGATGGAAGTTCCCTTTTCAAAGGATACCCTGGCGATCCGAGTCAAGTTTCAGTGACACATGTCAAGTATACGTCACACACATCAATACCCGATACACAGACCCCGTCATCGTGATTGCAAGCCTTTGTTGTTTGTTTTCACAATTATAACCATTACTATTATCCATATGTTGTAAAGCGCCTTAGAGTAATTTTACAAATTATATAGGGCGCTATATAAATGCTGTATACTATTATTATTATTATTATCGTTTTTTTTACAGCTATCTAGACTACCCAGTCACAATTTAAAGGACATTAATTACACACATGCGTCGAACGAAGGGAATCATGTCACCAAATGCCATTTTTACGGAAAACATGCCATTCAAGTCAAAGAAAGAAGCTTTCTTAGGGAATCCTGTCACCAAGGTTCATAGACATGTTGTCATCAAAGCTGTCTGCAAATGGTGTGAGATGTCTAAAGGCTGCTGATGATGCTGATATCTTGGTTGCACAAACAGCGGTGAGCTTCTCAAAAGAACAGAAAATAGCAGTAATTGGAAAAGATACGGATTTGCTAGTACTGCTTTGTCATCATGCGAACCCAAATCAGTACCCCATCATCTTCAAGTCTGATAAGCAAGTCGAAAAAAAATGAAAAATTCGGATATCAATAACCGACTGCGACACAACCTGAAGATTGTATGGTATCGGGAAGGACATCGGCTAAACGAAATTAAAAGACAATGATAATTTCATGCAGCAAGGAAGAATTTCCATGGACAGTTCTTCTACAAAGGCGATATCATCAAGTCGGGTGTTTACTTTTATGTGTAGGTGCTCATGTAAACATCTACATTATGTATATATTATGTTTTATTAGGTATACTATTTGTTTTATAAAATTGGTTCGAGTGTTTTGATTTATTGTATATTATTAATATTACCCCTATTAGGTGTCAGTTCAACAGATATTGGCTATTTATTCAAGATTCGTTTATCTCGTTATTCCTACCTAACTAATAGGTCCATATAGCACTGTCGGCTTCCCTCCTTTACCCTCGCTAACCTTGTGGGGTTTTACGACGAATGAGCGAAAGGACCTATTTTATTTGTCATATTATACAGTTTATAGTGGTAATGAAA